GTCCTCCACGAGGCCTCTGGTCCGGAGGCTTCCCCTGGTTCTCCCGGAGACCTCCGGGGAGACTTCCGTAGGACATCCTGGAGGTTTCCTTGGTCTTCTCGGATTGGCAGGCCTCCCCGGCCTTTTCCCGAAAACGCGGGGGTCTCCCAGAGGACCATGGGGGGTCTGCTGGGGGCCTCCTTTGGTTTTCCAGGAGGCCTCCGAGGAGGTCCGGGAGGACTCGGAGGAGGATCGTATGTTTTCTTCAGAGTTCTCCTCTCTCTTCTTCAAAATCGATCTTCCAGGACCCTAGCAGGCAGTGGACATGGATATATGAGCCAGGGTTTCCCCCCAATTCAAAGGGATCGAGTACCGCCCCTCGTTGGATGGGTACGCCCTTGAGCCTCGCGAAGGCCTCGCGAATGTGATCGCTCCCCCCCCTGTGGTCGAGGGCCTGTGGGAGTGGCGTGGTGGAGAGTGGACGTTCCGTGGCTTTCGCCGAGAGCTATCCGAGAACAAGGTCGCAGGGTTTCGCGCATAGAATCGCTCCCCCCCCTGTGGTCGTGGCCCGGTGGGCGTGGCGTGGTGGACGGTGGTGGTGGTGGTGGTGGCGGTGGTGGTGGTCGTCGTCGTCGTCGTTGTCGCCGTCGTTGTCGTCGTCGTCGTCGTCGTCGTCGTTGTCGTTCTGGTCGTCGTCGTGGTCGTCGTCGTGGTCGTGGTCGTAGTCGTCGTCGTGGTGGTGGTCGTCGTCGTCATCGTCATCGCCGTCGTGGACGTCGTCGTCGCTGTCATCGTCGTCGCCGTCGTCGTCGTCGTCGTCGTCGTCGTTGTCGTCGTCGTCGTCGTCGCCAGCATCGTCGTCGTCGTAGTCGTCGTCGTTTTCGTCGTCGTCGTCGTCGTCGTAGTCGTCGTCGTCGTCGTCGTCGTCGTCGTCGTTGTCGTCGTCGTCGTCGTCGTCGTCGTTGTCGTTCTGGTCGTCGTCGTCGTCGTCGTCGTCGTCGTCCGTCGTCGTCTTCTTCCACCCTTGTCGTCTTTGTCGTCGTCGTCTTTCAACCCCTCGACGCGGGATATGATGATTGGTCTTCCTGGGGCCAAAATTCATCCGTATCCATCGCCAGCTGTGGGCCCAGGACGTCGGTTCCCCAGCCGGTAGACAAGGATTCATCCCTGCCTCGCGGCCACGGCGTGCTTTGCCCAGGGCAGGCCGGAGTTGTTTTTGGGTCGGACCAAGTCAAGCCCTGGACGTCGGGAGGAGGGATAGGAGGGGTGGGGGAGAGGAGGGGGGAGAGAGGGCGAGGTGAGAAGGGGGACGAGGCTGGAGGACATTCTTGCCTCCCCCGTTCCCCTCCACCGTTTCCTCCGCTCGGTCGACCCGGACGGCGGGGGCCGCAGAGCGCGCCCCGAGGACGACATGACGACCGACATGCAGGAGTGCTCGGAGGGGAGTGGCTGCGCTGCTCCTGCTCCTCCTCGCCCTCCTCCTGCTCCTCCTCCTCCTCCTGCTCCTGCTCCTCCTCCTCCTCCTCCTTCTCCTCCTCCTCGTTCTTCTCCTTCTCCTCCTCCCTCTCCTCCCCGACCGACATGCAGGAGTGCTCGGAGTGCTCGGAGGATCTGCACGCAGAGGCCTTCAAGTTCTCTCGCGTTTTCGAGGCTGCCCGCAGGTGCTAGAGACTGGTGCCCCGACCCTCCCTGGTCGGACCGGGGCGTCCCAGGGCGTCCCAGACGGTCCAGGATGGACCCGGGACGGACCAAGACCAAGACGCCTGAAGATGACCGAGGATAGCGGCATGACGGTCTGAGGTGGCATCAGGATGGCCCTCGAGGCTGTCACGAGGGCCCAAGATGGCCCAAGGTGGTTTCCAAGAGCGCGCCTGAGCGCCCAAAGAGAGCCTCCAGAGACTCTCCAGGACGCCTGCGAGAGGTCGACATCTTTCAAGCACCTAAGTCAAAGCTACGGTTTTGATCGGTTTTGACACATTCGCGGCCTCGGCTCTTCATGGGCCTGTCAGGCCTCCACACGGCTCCACATTGGTTTCAAATAGCCCCAGCCCCAGGAGGTTTCCTAGACGCCTCCAAGATTCCCCAAGAGGCCTCACGAGGTACCCAAGAGGCACCCAAGAAGCCCGACGACGTTCCTGGGAGGCACCCAAGAGGCCCCACGAAGCCCGACGAGGCTCCCCAGAGGCCCGGAGAAGTCCCCATCCGACCCCAAGAGGCTCCAAAAAGCTTCCCCAGAGGCCCGAAGAGACCCCCAGAGGCACCCAAAGAGGCCCCAAACAGAGGCCCAAGGAAGGCCCGATACGACATGTTGGCTCTGCGCGGCTCCTCCCCTGAAGCCTGGCCCCCCCATGGGTTGCGGGGAACGTTGGTCAGGAGGGAAAAAAACGCACAGACACAATTAATCGTCGATTTCAAGAAGATATGAGAAAATATGGGAAGTGGGGGGGAAGACAAAACCCAGAAAATATGAGAAAATATAGGGGAATCCTGTTATTTGTGTGTATTTAGTTGTGTGTCCCAGGGCCCCTTCAGTTGGGGCTCATGGTCAAGTTGTTTACGTCCAGCAACCTGTACCAGGGTCTTGGCGCGTGACCCACAACATGACTTTCCGTGGTGCCTCCGAGAGGAGCGCATACGTGACACACATTTGAGTCCTATCCGACCTTCTTGATGGCTCCCCATCGGCAGGGCTGCCCCCCAAGTCTGCCAGTGGGAGCTTGTGCAACCCCCTCGACCAAGACAAACGATTAGGAGGATGACGAGGAGGAGGAGGAGGAGAAGGAGGAGGAGGAGGAGGAGGAGGAGGAGGAGGAGGAGGAGGGCGCCAAGCTGGACGCCGTCTTCAGATGCGGTGGCCTCGCCACCATTTTGCACGGAGCGCGAGTTCGAGGCGTCCCAACGAAGATCCTGAGCAAGGCCAGGACTATCAACGGCCAGGTCCTCGCGGGGGCCAGCGGACTCACGAGCAGGACGCTTCAGTTCGCCATCCAGTCGGGGCAGGGCTGGAGGCGAGACCCCGCCGTCGCGGCCCACAGCCTTCCGCTGCTGGCCTGGGCCAAGGCGGTGTATACCAAGCTCAGGGTCGCCAGCAGCATGGACTTGGTCTTCGAGGCGGCGAGACCCGCCCACTGGGGACAGGTCACGGGGCCGGCAGGAGCCGTGCGCCTCAGCCTCGACCGCATGGGATGGCAGGCGAACTCCTGGCACGTATGGACCACGGACAAGGGGGAGCGGCTCGACCTCCAGGTCCACAGCCCGAAGCTGCTCGGGATGCTGGTAGAGCGTGGAGTGCAGAGGTCGCTGCTCAGGCAGGTGCCTGACCACTTCCACGGGCAGCTGGAGGGGCCGCCGACCATGTACCCGCTGCGCGCGGCGTTGGACTCCCTGCGCGCGCTGGGGGACAAGGAGCAGTTGTCGCTGGTGGAGTCCCTGGTCTGCGGTGGCCTCGTCTCCCAGAGCAACTTGTTCGCGGAGCGGGCGGTCACTTCGGCCGATTGCCAGTGGTGCGGGAACGGCATGGGCACGCACCACCACAGGCTGTTCTGCTGCGAAGGGACGGCGACAGTGGCGAAGGACATGGGCCTGGAGGAGCTACGCGTTGCAGGCGCCAGGGCAGAAGTCACGGACGTGGGCTTCATCCGGTGTCTTGTCCCGCTGGGGCTGGAAGCGGCGCCGCCTCCAGATGCTGAAGAGAAGTGCCTTCGCGCGGGCTCGCTCCTGCACGGGGGCTTTTCGGGCACTGTGTGCATTGACGGCTCGGCCCTGTTCCCGCAGACGGTCGAGCTCACGAGAACGGGGTGGGCTTGCATCATGATTCAGGATGACGGCAAGATCGTCGGCGGGCTGCTGGGCACCGTGCCAGGCGTGTGCAGGAGATAGGCTTCGCGGAGCTCTATGCGCTGGTGAGGGCTCTTCGCGAAGCCGAAGCGGTAGAAGGCAATTTGAATGTGATCACGGATTGCAAAAATGTGCTGGACGATTACCTGAAGGGGCCCGCCTGGTGCCTCAGCCCACAGTGCAAGTACGCGGAGCTTTGGCACGAGGCGTGGTTCCGGATTCACGACCTGGGGGAGAGATTCGAGCTCCACTGGGCGAGGGCCCACACCAGCTGGGCTGCAGCTGAGCGCGAGGGCACGCCCGCTCACTGGCACATCGGCAATAAAGAGGCCGACAAGCGGGCCAAGGAAGGCGCTCAGCTGCACGGGGACTTCGCGCAGGTCGAGGAGCTGGCCACCAGAGTGAGCTCGGCGACAGTGGCGGCGACCCGCCTCTTGCGCCACCACGGCGCGGTTTTGAAGAAGGCCGCTGGTGCGGGGTGGCCGGATCGGGGTGCGCTTCCCCCCCTTGCCCCGAGCAGCGCCTCTCTCTCATTTCCAACGACAACGGGCACGCTTTGTCCTGTCTTGGGAGGGCCTGGGGCTGTAGCAGATGTGGGGTGCGGAAGGGGCTCCGATCTCGCATCGTTTGCCACCCTTGCCCAGGCGTGCCGAGGCCTGCGGCAATCGCCCATCCCTCCCATAAGCTTTGGGTGGTTCGGGGTGGGCGGGCGGACGCGGGTGGGAAGGCTTCTGGGCGAGATGAGGCGATTGTCTTCTGTAAGTTGTGCGGGGCTTATGCCCGCAGGCAAACTCACGGTCTCGCCCTGGTCTGTCGCCCCTGGACTTCGCGTTCTCGGGACTCGGCTCGTCTCGGTCGGATCGCCCTGGGTCGCCTCCTGGCTGGTCGTGAGCCCCAGGCCGATGTCTTTTGGGGACTGCCGTTCCCGCTCGCTCGTGCTTCGCCTCCGAAGGTAGTCGAAAGGTTCGAGGGAGCCAATTTTGAAGGTTTTGCTTCGGGCCCCGAGGTGTGAGACAACGTCTTGACCTCGAGGCGGATCCTGCTTTAAGTAGGTAGGTGTGGTTAGCCAAGCCGACCACGCCTCTTAGGAACCTGAGGAACCTGAGGAGGAGGAGGAGGAGGAGGAGGAGGAGGAGGAGGAGGAGGAGGAGGAGGAGGAGGAGGAGGAGGAGGAGGACGGCGAGCCGCCCCGCGCCCGTGCGACGCCGCGCGCCTCGGGCGCCTCCAGGAGCAGCGCGGCAGCGTCACCGCGCTGCCCGCCGTGGCGGTAGAGCGGGGCAGCACGGGCTCCTCGGGGGCAGCCTTGCGAACCCTCCACCTCGGGCCGAGTCCAATTCCATCGATTCCGATTCCGACTCGATCCGATCTCGGGTTCCGCTCTCTGGGCTTCGGCTTCTCGATGTAGGCCTTGCTGGCCTGCCGAGTTCCGCCGATGCGACTTCTCCCGACCTGGCTGCCGACGTCCGCGCCGATCCGATTCCTTTCGGCTCCTCGGGGGAAAGGTTGGTGGATTTTCTCCCTCCCGTCGATACCAGGCGTGACTAGTGGTGGGGCGATGGGATCTGTACGTTTCCAATGCCCCAGGCCTGGCCCACCCCAGGCCCAGGAGCGGTGTCAACGCCCTCCCAGCTTAACCAGGGAGGCATATCCACGTCTCCTGGGCCCAGGATGAGCCAGGCCTGGGGCAATGGATATTTGTAGATCTATTTGCCTTCGGTGAGGGAGAGAGGAAGGGGGGTCCAGTCACGTCGCGATTCGCGCCGGCGTCGTTTGGAAATGCTTAGGACTGGCTTGTTCCCAAGCGGCGTTGGCGCGAACTGTGATGTGACCAGGGGGGGGAAAGGGAGGGGGGGGCGGGGCCGCTCACGGGCGTTCTCGCGAATAACAAAAACGGGCTCCAACGATTCAGGCAATTCGATGGCCAGCGGGAGTAGGGCTCTGAATCCGTCGAGCCCGTGGCGAAGTCCGAACCCTAACCCCGCCTCCCACCGATTTAGGAGAACCGATGATTGGTGGGGGTTAGGGCTCGGATGTCACCATCTAAACGGGCTCAGCAAGCCTTGCTGTGTGTCTCGTCGCACGGCCTGTGTGGCACAGGCCAAGGAGCCGCAGGGACCGTGGTTCTGGTGGTGTCCGAGGCTCTGGGAACTCAGCGGGCCCTCTCGAGATCCCTTGGGGTGGAAAAAAGACCCACATGGGCTCGGCGGCCTCGTCCCGAGGCTGGAGGCCTTCGGGCGTCCTCGTCGGGGTCCTCGGCGGCTTCTTCCAGCCTCGGTGTGCTCTCCCTGGCCGCTGCGCCTCGCCCAGGGCGTGCTCCGGGGCTGCCCGGACCGTCCCGAACGGCCGTCGCAGAGCCGAGCTGTGGCCTGAAAACCAAGTCTCAGAGTGGGGGGCTTGTCCGAAGGGCTTAGGCGCTCCTCCTCCTCCTCCTCCTCCTCCTCCATCGCTTTCCTCCCCCTCTCCCTCCTCCTCCTCCTCCTCCTCCTCCTCCTCCTCCTCCTCCTCCCCCTCATCCACCACCTCCTCCTCCTCCTCCTCCTCATCCTCCTCGGGTCGCCTACGGCCGCGGGGGAAACCGTGCAGGCTCAGAGGTGGGAGGCATCGAGCCCCAATCGCCAGCTGATCGCCAACAGGGGCCCGATGGCGTGGCCCTGGAGGCTGTGGGCTCGCTATCGGGGGCCTAACGCCGATCTATCGGCGAGGCGCATCCCCGATTCCAGGCCGATGCTGCCCCCTTTAGCTGGTCCCCCCCTGAAATACGGTAGGTTCATGCGGCGATGGCGCCCCGGCGACGCTGGCGAATATATTCAAGGTTGAACGCTTCACGACAAAGCGACGCGGCACCGAGGGGCACGGTAGCGCCATAGGACCCGACGTATTTTGTCGTATGGAAAAAGTCCGGGGAGGGTTGTCCAGGGGGGGGTTGTCCGGGAGGGTTGTCCGGTTCCTCGCGGGGTTTTCCAAGGGGTTGTCCGGGCCGTGCCAGTTTGCCAGCGCACGCATATGCTTTAATCATCCGTATCATCAGAAGCATGACGCAGCCAGTCAAGTCCAGCTGGAAAGGGCGCCTCTCTCCTCCTTCCCCTTTGAAAGATCGGGACCACGATCGATTCAAGGTTAAACGATCCACCCCACCGAACTGAACCGAACCGAACAGAAGCAGCTATACGAAAAACGCGCGTGGGCAAAACAAATGGCGAGCGTGCGAGCAACGCCAAACGCGCTAGCTGGCGGACAGGAGGCGCCAAACTCGCGACAAGATAGCGACGACGCGCCAAATGCGCTCCGGGAGGTCGGGGGAATCAGGAAGATGACGATGATGAACGATCGGCGCGGTGTGAAAAACCTTTGCACGTGCCCACGCCGCGCGAATCTACCATAGCCCCCCAGGCTCCATGGCCCATTCCGGCGACGAGTTCTACACGAACGGGGAGGGCGAGGAGGACGAGCCCCATGCGAGGGTGGGGGCGAGGACAGGGTGGGGAAGTCAGAGGAGGAACATGCACCGAAGCGGGAAGGCGAGGAGGAGGAGGAGGAGGAGGAGGAGGAGGAGGAGGAGGAGGAGGAGGAGGAGGAGGAGGAGGAGGAGGAGGAGGAGGAGGAGGAGGAGGAGGAGGAGGAGGAGGAGGAGGAGGAGGAGGAGGAGGAGGAGGAGGAGAGGAGGAGGTGGAGGAGGAGGAGGAGGAGGAGGAGGAGGAGGAGGAGGCGGAGGAGGAGGGAGGAGGGAGGAGGAGGAGGAGGAGGAGGAGGAGGAGGAGGAGGAGGCAGGAGGAGGAGGAGGAGGAGGAGGAGGAGGAGGAGGAGGAGGAGGAGGAGGAGGAGGAGGAGGAGGAGGAGGAGGAGGAGGAGGAGGAGGAGGAGGTAGGAGGAGGGGAGGAGGAGGAGGAGGAGGAGGAGGGGGCGAGGAGGGGAGGAGGAGGAGGAGGAGGATGGAGGAGGAGAGAGGAGGAGGAGGAGGAGGAGGAGGAGGAGGAGGAGGAGGAGGAGAGGAGAGGAGGAGGAGGAGGAAGAGGAGGAGGAGGAAGGAGGAGGAGGAGGAGGAGGAGGAGGGAGGAGGAGGAGGAGGAGGAGGAGGAGGAGGAGGAGGCGGAGGAGGAGGAGGAGGAGGAGGAGGAGAGGAGGAGGAGGAGGAGGAGGAGGAGGTGGAGGAGGGAGGAGGAGGAAGAGGAGGGAGGAGGAGGTGGAGGAGGAGGAGGAGGGGAGGAGGAGGAGGATGAGGAGAGGAGGAGGAGGCTGAGGAGGAGGAGGAGGAGGGAGGAGGAGGGGAGGAGGAGGAGGAGGAGAGAGGAGGAGGAGGAGGAGGGGGGGGGGGGAGGAGGAGAGGGGAGGAGGAGGAGGAGGAGGAGGAGGAGGAGGAGGAGGAGGAGGAGGAGGAGGAGGAGGAGGAGGAGGGAGGAGGAGGAGGGAGGAGGAGGAGGAGGAGGGATGAGGAGGAGGGAGGATGATGACGAGGAGGAGGAGCAGAAATAGGAAGTAATAGAACGAACACTGACAACAATACTAATACTATGAGTAGTAGAAATATCTAAACGAAGAATACTAACACTAAGAATAAGGAACCTATTATTAATAATAATACTCAAAATACGCATACTCGTACTACCAATAATAATACGAATCATACTACTAATACTTTTACTAGTTATAACAAGGAGAAGAATACAACTAACACTAAACATAGTAATAGTCGTAATAAAAAAGAGGAGTAGGGACATACGTAAGAATAGTGCAACTAGGAATATACCAACAATCATAATAATAGTGTGACTAATACTATTAATAGCAAGAGTAAAGAGAGTAATATTACGAATAATAATATTAATAGTCGTAATACTAATAATCATACGAAGAATACTAATATGAGGAGGAGGAGGAGCAGGAGCAGGAGCAGGAGCAGGAGGAGGAGGAGGAGGAGGAGGAGGATCGGGTATAGCTAGGACTTCGGTTAAGGGGGCCAATTAGTGATTGGGCCTCGAAGCCCAAAATATGGATTATAATTACTAAACCAGATCTGCCGTAGCTGGTTTTCTGCGTGTGACGGCAGTTCCGGTTTGTGGAAAGGGGCGGGGGAGGTGTCCCCTGGTACACATCATTATACCAGGCACCATTATTTGGAGGTGGACAGACCTCCTACCCTGACACGTCGATTAAGGAATTGGCCGTTTTCGGTTCGCGAGGGGGCGTCGCGGCCGTCATTTTTGCGGGTCCAGGTCCGTCGATTTCGGTCCCAGGCAGTTTTCACTAAAGGGAGGGTTACTAAAGGGAGGTTTGTCCACCGCCGAATTATGCCCAGTCCCGCCAACGCCCAAGAGGAGGAGGAGCCGTAGCAATTTTTGGCTCAAGCCATTTTGGCTCAACTTCCAGCGTGGCCCCCGACGGGGGCTGGCTCGAGGGTCCCAGGTTTTTCCACCATCGATCCCACTGCCAGCTGCCCGAGCGGCCGTGGTCTTCAGTTTGGGCATCTTCTCCCTAGTGTCCAGGCGCCGCCATGTCAAAGAAACTTTTGGCGAAGGATGCTTGGGCTTGCGCGTCCAAGAAGTGTGAGGTCAAAGAAACCTCGTCATGGCGGTCAACGTGCTACAGGTGTGGGGCTCGGAAGCCTCTTGCTCCCGCTGTGCGTGAGCCTCCTCTCGCGTCAGGCGTGAGGTAGAAGCAACCCCTCTGGTCAGGAGTTGGCCAGTTGGATGGAGTTGTCTGACGATGCGAACTGATCCCCCCGCACGCACCGCCCTTCAGTCTCTCGAGGGCGGGGGGCCGGCCCGCGCGTGCGCACCCGCCCCTGCGGCGCCGCCATCGTCCTGCGGGGTCCCCGCTTGGCGGCTCCGCTGGGTTGCGGCGCGGCGCTGGCCCGCGGGCATCCGGCATCGGTTCGAACATGATCTAGAGCAAGACCAGATCTCGATCTGGTCCGTTCTGGATCGCGACTCGGCCTAAGTCTGGATCCTGAATCGGCTCGCGCTGAATCGTGAATCCGCTTTTTTGAATCGTGAATCGGTCCATGCGGGAGCTCAAAGAGCTTGGCCGGACCGGATTGCAATTTGGCCCATTTCTGGACAGTGAATCGACTGACAGCGTGACAGATTGGACCGACCCAAGATCCAAATCGGACCGATTCGGGATCTAAAGTGGACCGATTCAGGATAAAAACGGACCGATTCACGATCTACAAGCTGGGACAGGTTTTCTCCTAACGCCGCCACGTGGTCCAATGCCGCATAACAGGAGGATTGGTGTGACTATGTGCTACAGTGGCCGAACACACTGCGCTTCGGAGGTTCACACCCACTGCCCCTATTGTATAGTACTACCACAACAGTGCAGCATGTGGGCCAGTATGTGTGTTCAGTCCACTCCTTCCTGCTTCGCGTGTTTGCACCCACGATGTGTATGACATGTCAATTCACTGTCATACACACGTTGAGAACACCCAATGTGTCTTGGGAACATCCAAGCCTCCCACCTCGCCGATGGCCGCGCTCAAACCACGGAGAGGGTAATCGACCTCCAGCGCGTCGTGGCCCGCGGCCTGCTTGTTCACCGCATCCTCGCACATCTGCTCAAAGTCGGGGCTTGTGGCTGCCCTGCCGCACGCTGCTGCACCGACTCGGGCACGCTCCTCACGGACCCAGGCGGTGGAGGAGCTTCGGCCAGCTGCGGTGCGCCCCCACCCCCAGCGCCTTCCGTGGCGCGGGGGTGGAGCGCATCCGCAGGAAACTTGGCAACGGGCCCCAGCACGACCGATAAGACGTCGGACTGCACCTCGACGGTCGTGCCATGCTGCCCCGGCCTCCTGCGCATCTGTTCGGAAGGCGTCTCCACCTTCGACACGTCCAGCGGTGGCAAGATCTGCCAATCGGAAGGCGGGGACGGCGGGGATAGGGCAGCAGTCAGCTCATTCACGTTGCACGGTGGTCCCCAGACAGAAAGGGCTCCAGCACCTGGAACGCGGAGTGGTGCTTCCGCCCTCCACTGCATTGCCACCGCCAGCGTGTCGATCACCATGGCACTCTTCGGCACTGGTTCGGCACCGCAAATCTCCAAAACACACCTGAACTCCTAAGCCGAAGCCGAAGACCTCGCGGGACCCTGCCGCCGAGGCGTGGCTCCTTCTGGGTAGCCGCCCAGGCCTCACGTGATGACCCCACACTCAAGAACTCCGCAGCGTGCCATGCACACTTACAACGGAGACGACGCTCACCAGACAGGCGATCCCTCGTAACACGCGAGAGCGGAGAGCAGGCCCTTCGATCTCTACATGAGGGGTCACCTCGTCAGTGGGTCGCTTCCTCTGGGGGCTCCGCAGCCTCGCCACCTCGCCTTGCAGCGCGTCGATCTTGGCCTGGAGCTTCCTCGCGAGGGTGTCAGCAGCGGCACGGCCGTAGAGGCTCCCGTAGCGACACTGCCCAGGCAGGGAACCTCCCGCGACACACGGCGGACGCACATGACCAGCCCGCTTGAGCCAGCGCGGGGGTTTGCCCGCTGAAGGGCGGCTTGCGCCAAAATGGCTGTGGAGGAGGAGGAGGAGGAGGAGGAGGAGGAGGAGGAGGAGGAGTAGCAGGAGGAGGAGAACAGGAGAAGAGGAGAAGAGGAGAAGAGAAAGAAGATGACAGAAGAGAAAGTAATAGTTGATGAACCAGGAGAGAAAATATCTACCGATACCACTACCCTTGCCTCGCTTTCGTCTCTGGGGCCTCCTGGGAGTTCCTCGTCGCCGTGGCTGGGTTCGCCTCGGAATCCTGGTCAGAACGAGCCCCTGGAGATGTCTGGGGCGTGGCAGTGTCGGTGCCTTTTTGCCCCCCCGCGGAGGGACGGGCGGGAGGAGGGCGAGGCGTCGGGGAGGGCGAGGACAGGGGGAGGGGGGAGGCGCAAGACTCGAGCTTGCAGGAGCTCGGGCTTGCCGCCGCGTTTTCTGGCGGTCCCGGCGCGGCGTGGATCTTGACGGTCTTCTTTCCTCCTCCGCGGCCGCCCTCTTCCTTCCCAGTCGTCTCCGCGCCCCGCACCCGGCGCGCCCCGCTGGTATCAAGCCCCCGCCCCCTGCGATCGCCGGCGCTGCCGAGGAACAATTTTTTGTCCGTGCTGTGTTTGCAGCGGGAGCCGCGCCAAATTCCAGGCAGTCGTGCCAGTTTTATTGTGGCCCCGTCGGGCACAGTCGAGACGCCCAAATTCGAGTCTGACGTCTCCCCGATGGGAAGGGCAGGGCGGGATTCCCCCTCCTACTAGCAAAATCACCGTCGAAAACTGTCAGAATGGGGTTGCGTTAGGGAAGCTGGATGGTCCATAGGCGCAGCCTACAGGCCGTGTGCGCTGCTCCTTGATGCTCGCTGCCAGCCGTTGGGTGGCTGGGAAGAGGCACATCGAAGCTACAACGAAAACCGTCGAAAAGTGTCAGGAAGGGGAGGGGCAGGATGGCGAGGGGAGAAGGCGAGGGGCGAGGAGGAGGAGG